TGGCAAGAGTGTGTGCTATAGCCAATGTTTTAAGAAATAATTTTAACTCAAAAGTCGAGGCTAAATTTAATTTTTTAGCCAGGACACTTTCGACTTCCCTCGCGTTTATTGGTTTCAGGTATATGAGGGAAAGTGTTGATCTAAATTAGGATTTCCACAACTAAAATGGATAGAAATTTTCTTCCTTTTTGTCAAATTCAGTTCCTCAAATGACTATTTAGCATGATTTTTTTCTCATTTGATTTCATTCAGTACCTTACAAACTGTCTATTATCTGCATTGGCTAACTTTTTTTCTTTTTTTGATGGACATTTTTCGTTTTATTTCTTTCAAGTTTTTTTTTTTTTAAAAAGTGCACCTTGTTTTGTACTTAGTTTTCTCCATGGGGCTGGCAGTGTGATTAAAAACTTGCCTCAACCTGTTTTTTTGCTGCTGCATTTTCAAATTGATTATACACCCACGTTTTTGCGCTAATCTAACAATTTTGCGTTTTTGTTTCGATTGAATTCGGTTTGTTTTTAATTTAAGTTGACGAAGAACCATGAATGGTTTTGTCTGGAATGAATCTGACTGGGCACATGTTTGAATGGTTTCAATTTTGGATAATAATCCGACTGGAATAACCAGTTGCTGTGAGCGACATACATAAGAGACAAGTTTTTTGACCTGCGAATTACATTAGACACCGGTAAGTTAATCCAGACACGACTGCATAAGAAGATTGAAAATATCACTATGTATCGTCTTCGCGCATGTGAGCAACGATCAAAACCAGTTACACACTATTTTAAAAAATCTGTCACGTCCTATCAATCAACAGCTTTTGACTTTTTAGAAGCAGGCGAGTCGGGAAATTCAAGAGTTTTGACCTGATACGATCTGTCTTGTTGAGTTCAGGATTGGGTAATTGGGCAATATGCTCATGCAGTACTTTATAGAATAAAAAAAGCATTTTGAAGCAACTTAAATTATATCGGTTAAAACATTTGCGCTTGTTAAAAAAAACTTCAATTCAATTAAAATCGAAGACGGATCTAAGATTTTCACTAAGGGGAAAAAACGTGTTTTTTCCTGAATTTGAACTACCCTTTTGTAAGCTCGACCAAAATTATTTTGCAAACTCAAAAGTTTGGCCTGCGCTTTCCCAGTTAGAATATGTTGGCGCTAAAGGTAGTGATGACGCCATGGCCTTACAGAGCTCTCGCAGTGATGGCGCTAAGCAATAATATGAAAGCGGGTTCAAATCGCGTGTGCGCTGAAATTTGCAAAATTAGCTATTGCAAGTGAATCATAGCATACTGGGCGCTGATTCTATGGGCTTTTGTTCAACTTAAACAACGGAACTCCGTGTTAAGTCTCCGGGATGGTTCTCTAAAATAAATAAAGACCAGCCTGCAGAAATAAATTGTTGCTTGTGTCAAAACCCAAAATGATAGTACCAGATAGTACCATAGCGGTCAATGAGCCGAATGGCCTAGGAGCAGATTAAATCTAAGAGCAGAAAACGGACAACTATTCATTTATATATGACTAATCGATGAAAACAGTTATAAGAATCGTCAATACTACCGAGGAAATGAATAAGTTTAACTAAAATCGAATATTCTCATCAAATTTCACTCAATTTAAGTTTCGAAAAGCTTGATCAAGTTTTATCTCAATCAATCTAATCATCTTATATCAATTACTCTTAATCTATTCGTTTTTTTTTTTGGTATTATTGACAATTCTAATACTTTTTTTAACCGATTAGCTTATGAAAAGTTTATACTTTTCAGTTTTTCTTCTCTTGGACCCTTTCTGCTCTTAGAGCAATCTGCATATTGTTCCGCCTTCACCGGTGGCGTACCTTTTTAGGAAAAAAAACAAATCCCCGAGCGAGGGCGTCTGCTCAAAAAAAATGGTGAATTTTATAAAATGGCATTCACAGTTAAATTTTTTCAAAAAGTGCCTGAAAAAAAATGCATTTTTCACCTAAAAGACATAAAAAGGACAACAAAAACTTCGAAAATTTTTGGAAAATCCGTCCCCGCCCTCGAGAAAATCCTAGATCTGCCCCTTATTCGGCTTTCCATTTCTGATAACGTTTCCTTCGTTTTTATATCATTTCACACAGGACTGACATTTTACATTAGGTAATGCATGCTATTGAATTACCATAGCACATTACCTTATGCATTTGACTTTGGACTGTCATATCGAGTTACTCGAACCTATTTACAGAAGTCACGGAAACTTTTTTGAGACTCCCTTATTAATGACGTATCAAGTTAACATCCTATCATTCAGTTTCGTCCTGTAGCCAGTAAAAATTCGCAATAATTGATCAAATGTTTTAACACCTCGTTATATTCTGCGATTTGATACGTCTGGATAAGCCGTAACTCGGTTCTAACTTAAAATTTTCAGCCAATCAGAATCGAGTATTTTATATGCAGCGCTTAGCAAATTTAATGCAAATTAAAGGCTGGGTGGAAGATCTTAACTTGGTCTATCTGTGTGGGGGGAGGATGTTAACTTGATTCAAAAGAACATTTTAAAAGGCAAAATGACCTAATTACTTTTTTAGCTAGCGACCTCTCCTCTTTCCTTATTGGAAATTGACTCAAGATTCTCACCTATTAGAATTCCAGACTTGCAATTGTTTTAATTACAATTTCATTAATATTTTTTTCCTAATGTTTTTTAAATCAAATTAAGATTTATTAAATATGTAGTTACCGTGCATTTTGTGCAAGTAAATCAAAAAGAAGCGCCTTGTGGGGGTTTAGGAAAAAGAGCCGAAAAAGCTTAAGTTTTTGAGACTCTTACTCATTTCTGAGTACAACATGCTTTTTTCAAAATCCAGGTGCACGTGATCGGTCAAATTACCAGCCTATTTCTTTTTGGAATTTTTTTTTGTGCTATCAACCTTTAATTTGGGCGTGTATCTTCCTTTTCTTTTCCTCTACGCAGAGGGTTTATCTCCCTGTTTGAATTTACTGGATAAAAGAATCAGTAATCAAACTTTTTTGTAACCTGATTATATCAATTTTGCCGAAAAGACTTCTTCTTTTTCTATGCACGAGTTGATACTGAAGATCAGGAAACGAGTTTTGATTTTAGCAGGATCGTGATTAAATTTTTTTCGAAGCTGAAAATAGGATTTTATAATCATATATATTGAAGAATTGGGCCAAAACTGCTCTTTAGAGTTCCAAAAATAATCTGAAGAAAAATAAAAATAGGTGCAAAATTCCCAAAATTTTTTTTTTGATAAAAATGAAACTTTTTTGAAGCTTAGAGAAATTTTTAGTGCCAGAGGTGGATATAAAAATTTCTCGAGATGAAGGGGGCGGCTTTTAAAATTTTTTTAAAAAAATTTTGTCGATTTTTTTAAGTGGACCAAATTGATTGTTCAAGCGCTGCCAGAACACTATAAAGAACCTATTTTGCCCAAACATTCTGCGCCGCAGTCAAATTTTTGAAAAAAAAAACAGGTCAAAAATGCCGTTTGCAGGCTCTTTTTGGAAAATGTTGACCAAAAATTAATTTACCGAGCTCACTGTTAATTTTTGAGGCATGCAAAAATTGCATCTGTGGCTCACTTGTTTTTAATGCGCACCCTTATAAATTTTTACTGTTCCTACTTTCAAAAAAAGTGTGGATTATTTAAGATTACGGTGTATATTTTTGTTCAGTCCATTTTCTACAAGTTAACTCAACTTTCTGACGGTATTTTTTGCTACCATCTGAAAAATATAATTGTCTGGAGGTCAAAATTAAAACTATATAATACCTTGAGATCATTTTTCATACAGTTTTGATGGTTTGAACTTGGGACTAGTTTGACGTCTAGAATTCGAATTGAGATAAGTAACCCGCAATATGTTTTGTTCTATAAAAGCGTTAGCGGCGAATTGGACCTTTCCAAATTAAATTGAATCCAAAATATTGTATTATGATGCGTTAGCAGGCTCAAAGTATACCACTTATTAATGTACATAGCTTGTGGTTCATAAAATTAAGAATTAAAAACTTTAAAAAGTTCTAAATTTTTGATTATTTAAGAAGATTGCAATCGACGACAGAGGGCTTGTGAAGCATTCCGGGCTATGCCTTGATTTACAAGTAGTCTTGTTAACTCCTAGCGTGTGGCGGATTGAATCATTCCAAACTGAATTGGGTCTGTCTTTTCGTTTCACGTACCCGGTTTCTCGATGAAAAAAGTATTACTTTGCACTTGTCCTTGCGTTAGGAAAAAGTTTCACCAAATAATGAAAACAATTTTTTTAAAAGATTTTTTTGAACTGTCATGAATTTTCTAAATAAAACTAAAAGTACCTAAAGGGCAGTCGAAACATTCAGGGATTCGCCCTGATACTATCAGTCGCCTTCTTCTGATTTTCAGACAAATACTGTTTTTGTCACAGGCCATTTTTGCTAAAATATTTTCAAAACACCAGTGCATCAGTGTTTTCAACTCCAAATTGAAAAAAAAACTGTAGTTAAATTTTTGATAGGTTTACAGGTTTTTAAAATTGTCAAGGCTTTGCCTTGATACAAAAAGTCTTGGTCTTATAAAAACCAATTTTGTCTGAAATAATAGGCGATACCAATTATAATGAGAATCGTCTGCTGTGCCGCCAAATGCAGGGAGTTGGTCTACTTCAAAGCTAACTACTTCCTTTTAATTTTGACATTTAATCTTAATTCTATTTAAGTTTTTTTTGTAACTATCTTTCACCAGTTGGTGTATTTTACTAAGTTGCTTTTGTTGTCCAAATCTAATGTAGAGCATTGTAAATCGAAAAATGGGAGCTTTTATCCTATTAGGAATTAAAGTCTTATGGGGGATTTAGTCCTGGGGATTTACCAGGTGGGTTTTTGTTCTGGGAGCTTTAGTCCACTGGCGGACAAATCGATAAAATTGTTTTGAATGTGATTCAAAATGGACATATACTGCTAAAGTCACTTTTTTGATTGAGAGAATGAAGATGACGACGATGATGAATTTTTAGGGAATTTTGTGGTGATGTTGGTGATCTGTGTGAACAAGAGCATGCACACCGCCACCAGCTTCTTCCTCTTCAGTATGTCCCTCAGTGACGTCATCTTCCTCCTCTTCTGCATCCCACTCAACATCTACGTCGTCCACACCAAACACTGGCTACTCGGCGACGTCCTATGCAGTCTCTTCTGGTACCTCATGTATGTAAGTAGCTCACAACACCCCCACTCCATCTAACTTGATTCAAATATGTAAGTATATGAATCCCCCTCCAACATCTCTCAATCCCCCTCTAGCTTGACTCACATGTGTAAGTATCTCTCAACCCCCGTCCCCACCCCCCCCCCACATATCTGGTATGCCTCGTGTATGAACGTATCTCTCAACCCCACCCCCACATATCTGGTATGCCTCGTGCATGAACGTATCTCTCAACAACCCCATTATACAAAAATCATCAGCCTAAAATACATAGTTTGTAAATATTTACAAACTTTAATTTATCAATGCTTGTTTTGCAACTTGAGTCTAGTGAAAGAGCAATCGGAACATCTAGGACTTGGACGGACGTGATGCGAGCATTCAGTGTTTTTATTCTGTGATTTTTCGACTTTTAAACTAAGCACTGTGAAAAAAAAATTTAACTGATCTGAAAAATTTTGTTGCGTAAGCGTTGCATTAGTAGGCTTCAAATTGAGTTGAAGCAAATCTTTTGTTATTGCTCCTACTTTCGATAAGAAAGTAACGGAATATTTGTGCTCGGGTTGGGTTTTTTTTTCTTCAGACAAATTTCGACTTTTTAACTAGCCATTTTTGACGGAACTTTTTTTTAAATCATTCGAAAAGTATTGTTGTCCTGAGCTCAAAATTGAAAAGATATTTCACCTGTGATCATTTTTCGTAAAGTTACGGGGGTTTAAAGATTGCCATTTTGGCCATTTTGACCAATTTGGGACAATTAACGCGCGATATAATTCGCGCTACTAACGCGTAAGCGGAGATTTAATCCGTCTTAGAAATCGTTCCAAATTGATTGAACGAAGCTTATTTGCCATACTTGGTTTGTTACAAGGAGCGAAATCTATCCTTTTGTAATTTAAATGGCGTGTGGGGGGATGATTTTCATAAAAAACTTCAAATTTTAGAAAAAAAATTTTTTTTTCATTTTGTTTTATTTCATTGAATTTTTTAATGTTATTACTGCTCCATAAACTTTAAAAGGCAGTCGGAACATTCAGGGCTTCGCCCTGATACGAGCAATCTTGTTATTATTAAGACACGACACACTAAAAACTCCCTTTGTTTTTTACATTAGCGTGTTGGAGTTGGATAACTTGAACAATTTTTTTTTAGCAAAAAAAAACTTTTCAATTAACCTTGAAAAAAAGACAGAATATTTATGGCTTCGCCCTGATATTCAAGAGTAGTTTTGTTTGTAAAATATGGCAATTTGAAATGGTGAAATTGTCAAATGGTCAAATTGAATTAATTAAATTTCCTGCTACTCGAGACACCCGATTTATTTGGGAGACACGATAAATTTCCTGCTTATGGCTTGCAAGCGGCAATTTAATAAGCCTCAGAAATCGATTTATGTCTGCGTTTTTTTTCAATAGCGCTTGCGTGGGCAGAAATCTTTACAAAATCTAAGAAAAAAAGAGTAATTTTCGTACGCAATTTTCAACCGAAGTTTCCAAAAACTGTTTAATAAAGAACACAGGAGTCGGTCCATTCATTCAAGGCTCTGCACTGATAAGAGATTTCTTTTTTGAAATCTTATTTTTCCCGCGATGTAAAAATTTACCATGAATTTTAATCACAATGCTGATAAGTCAGCTTAGAAAAACAGAATTCTTCCAACTTTTTTCGGAAAAACTGACGGAATAATTGTGCTCTCGGTGGTTTTTTTTCCTCCTAAAAAATTCAATATTATTGCCATTTTTGACAAAACTTTTTCTATAGTTCGAAATTTTTTGATG